AAGCCACTGAATTAGGCTCGAGCTCGAGCTCAGTTAAAACCGAGCCGAGCTGAATTCGAGCAGCTCGTAAAAAGCTCGACTCGTTACCACCCCTACATGACACCAATGATATACAATAATTGTGTATCGCAAGGTGCCAAGTGGCTAGTTGTTAAGGCTTTTGGCCAATTGTCGCAAAGACTCGGGATCTGATCTTACCTGCACGAGTATTGGCCATTGGGGTTATGGGTTTTGGCCTTTTGAGGATGTATTACCCCCTTTTCCGTGGATTCAAAAACTGATACATATCATATAATACATACCGATGCATTGATTACTTTGAACCTTCGGCTCAGTTTGGAAAGAGTGTAAATACAAATATGTACAGTATAAGTACATACAAAATAATAGAAAATGTAAGATTTTGTGCTATACAATTATGTATTTTTACTCCTTGCTCAGCTCAATTTGCAAAGAGTACAAATATAAATATTATACAATTGACGCCTCTTTATTATTCAATTACTTCCTTTTTGCATTTCTCGTTATGCTTGAATGAGTTTTTTCTCCTCCAAGCAGATAAAACTGTTCATGGAAGCTAAAACTCATCATTGACCAAGTTCTATACTATTCAGTGAATTCATCTGTGCTCTTTCATGGAAGGAGAGGAGGACAATAGGCTCTCACGTAATAATCCATGTGATTACATGAAGTCCAAGATTCTTTAGGTTATGTTTGGTTTGAAGGAAAATGTAGAAGAAGGAAGGAAAAATAGGGAAATCTTTATAAATCTTGTATTAATTTTCCTGTCTTTCACTTTCTTTTCCTATCTTTCTCTTCAAATCAAACATAGCCTTAAATCATTAAGGAGACATCGCTTTTGGTTATCCACCGTCAGAGAGAAAGTACTGTTTTCCTTGTTGCAGGAAGGAGCAAAAGTTTTTTCAAATTCAACTAGCTGCAGGTAAAGCCAAACAGATCGTTCCAGATCTTTTACGCTTAATGCCTCACACTAAGGTATGCACCAACCAATGAAAATCCATCAAAATTCATGGAGATACACGATGTTCCCAATAAGTGACTGTGGGAGTACACCTGTTCATGGGCTGGGATGAGGCTTCTCTTTTTTTAAAATTTGAATGAGCCCAGCGTGAAACAGTGTAAAGTTGAGCCCAAAGCCCAGTTCATGAACAGATCTAATAGGAAGTATTTCCCTAATATGATCTACGATTATTTTAAATTCAAAACACTAGGTGTGATCTGCTTTTTGATTGGATTGCGAGCCGATAACTTTTCAAAGACAATATCAACATCATTAAAGCAGAAAGATGAAAATGAAAAGCATGACAGCAAGTATTAGTATGATTATGTACCTTCAATGCTGTCTAGATGGATCAGAATTTAACCACATTACAATCTACTGTGGTTTGGGTGGTAAGGTGGTTTGGCAAAAAAGAAGAGAATGTTCTTGGCAATGCTGGTAGGGTCAACGGGCCGGGTTCAATACAGTTTTTTTTTATACAACCTGAACCCGATCTGGTCCGTCCAGTCCAATAAGTATTGCACATGCACTCACTCAAACTTAGTAGTTCAATGTTGCAATGTCAAAGGCTCGGGTTCAGCACGGGCCCACCTTAACCAGACCTGATTATTGCTGACCCGACCCCAACCCAATAGGGTTGGGCCAGTGTGGGTTTACCACTTAATCCGATTCACTGACATCCCTAGATCCAACCATGTGAATGGTGAAAGTGAAGAAAGTTCCAAATCTGAAGGATGTCATGGATTCAATTTGAGAATTAGACCATTTGACAGTACTCACAATAGACTAATAGCAGTAATCTTGATCAACCTCTCTCTCTCTCTCTCTMTATATATATATAGCAGTTAAAATAAACAAATTATTAGAAGACAAATAAAATGTTCAACTTTAAAGAGGATAAGTATGGTTCTATATAATGGGTTTTTTATTTTTTATTTTTTATTATTTTATGTTTTGATGGATAGCTACTACATAATGGTGGTTGCATAGGATCCATGACAGTGTGGGCCAGTTCTGTCGGTTCTTTAAAATAAAAGCCCTGTAATTAGTAGATACAAAACAGTGGGCTGGTTTGATGGGCCAATGCTGTGGCGTCTCTTTCTTAAGGGAACAAAGCATACTTGTCCAGACCAACTTTGTCTGAAACAACATGCATAATAATACCGCAACTCTTCAGTCTCCAATAATACGCCTTGTCCTTATCACATTCTCGGTCCAGGGATTCAATTTACCCCTACATACTCCAGCTTAGCAAGTAATGTTCATTGATTGGGTGCTAATAGCATTGCTCTTGGATCAATTCTGCCTTCTTCCCCTTATCTGTACTGTACTTCTCTACACTGTATGTCTGTATTCTCTAGGCTGTAGCCTGTAACCATCATCTGCCTTATTAAAAAACGAATAAATGAGTTGGTCTTGCTTATCTTTATCCGTAACTCGAACTAGAAGAGCTACTTTTTCGGCCACAAAAACCCCATGGGCTTGTTAATGGGTCGGGTAGATCCGAAAGTTCCAACCTGAATTTAATCAGAGGAGTGCCATAGACCGATCCATATTGTAGAAAGGCACAAAGGCAAATTAATTTTCTCTGTTACTACAAATCCGGATTGAATTTGGTTTGAAGCCTTGAATATATAATATTTGCACTCTCTTACAGAGTTGCATATAGGTTCTTGGGTCCCCAACTCTGGGTTTGGTTTTACACAATTTGATAACCATTCCTGTCAAGTGTCCGACCCAGATATCAGTCAATATACATAGAAAATGAACGAGACAGTTTAACTTGATGTTATTGATGCTAGAACATTTCGAGTCCAGGATCGATCCTAACAGGCTGGGATTGAATCATTGAATCGGAATAATGTAAAGGCAAATGCTAGGCGTCATGGGTTTACCCAGTCAAGGTGCGATTTAAAAGGGCTCGTGATGCTTAGAATTCCCGCTCTGGGCGTTCTCTAAGCCCTAAAGCCTCGTTTATTTGCAGAGCGATTTCATTTGCACTGTATTGGCTAACTTCTGTTTCACGTTTTACTTCAACCTATTTGCGTGCAGTGCAAACGAAGTAAAATGAAATCTGAAGCTAAGTAAAAGACCACAAGTAAAAGTATGCCAGAATTTGCACCCCTCATTTACAGAATTCCTCACATCTCTCGGGCGAAAATCATCCAATTTCTACAGAACTCTGCCAACCCAATAATCCCAACAGTAAAAAATTTCAGATCTGGAATCATAAGTCAGAAAAAAATTGAATCAATAGGACTATTTTTTTCCTTTTTATTTGTGGGGTGATCTGAAGTTAGTAACTAGAATACTTAATAACAGTTAATAATTACAGGCAGGGGTCTCTTCACCCTTTATTTCWCTCTCTCTCTGCTATTCTCCTAATTCCTCTAAGTCCTAGCTAATCCAAAACTCCCCCAACAAAAAACAAAGCAAAAACAAGGAATAATATCTGTACAAGTTGTTATCATATAAAAGCAATCAAGTCCGCCACTTCCATACGGCTCCTTAATTTCACCCTCTTCATGTGCTCGTTGATTGTGTAGGGGTCCTTGGAGCTGCACCAAACAATAAAGAAATAAACAAACAAAAATTGTTCGTAAATCAAATCTCCTCGAGACATACAGAACAGAGAGAGACTATGAATTTACCTAAACCCACAGCCTCTGAACTCTTCATCAACCGAATACGCTTGCATGATGCGACGAACATTCTACACTCGACCAGGGAAAGAAATGTTATTATAGGGATACTTTGGTCAATTTACAAAGCTAAGTGAGGGTGTTTTCGGGAACCTACTTCCAAGGAACGTCTCCCACCAACATCCAGTCTCCGTCCTTGTCTTCGTAGGTGGGAACGTACTCCGTTCCGTTCACGGGATCCATGAGCTTGCTCTCGTTTAGAACATTACCTGCAGAACAAGGAACGACCAGGATCAAATCAGGCCTGTTTCCTTAAATCAACGGCGCATATGTAAAAGATACAAGTACTGCACACAATATACGTACGGATGGTAAAGCAGGTGAACATTTCCTCCAAAGCGCTCAACAGCTGCTGGTAGCTCCCGTACGTTTCCAAGTCTACCTTCCGCAGGTACGGTGCTCCGTCTACGGCCACCTTCACGTACGTGCAGCTCTTCAGCACGTTCTTCCTGAACGATCTCACCGGCGGCCATCCCACTACTTGCGCCCTGAAAATACAAAATCATAAGAACAAGAAGAAGAAGAAGAAGAAGAAGAAGAAGAAGAATTGAGGAAAAAAACATCTCGTCATCACCAGATCCAGATCTTACTTTGACGATGGAGGTTTGCTGGCGCCGGACACTTCACTTTCCCCTTGATCTTCAATCCGGTTTTTGCTACAGCTGCCGAGGTTTAGATCAACGGTCTCCGAGAAGCCACGCTTACTATTGTTCTTCGCAATGGTCTCCGTCTGGCTCCGAGCTTCGCCGGGTAAGCCCAACGTCAGCTCTGTTTCCTTGAAATTCAGGCCGGTGGCGTCAGATTCCGGAAGGTTCAGAGCCGTCTCCGTTAACATCATGAGCTTCTCTCTGAGGTACCTGGCCGTGCTGTGTATCCGCAACTTTTGGCCTCTTCAAAAATCGAAATTGGAGATTTGGAGCTTAGATGATGAGCTTTCGGGCCATCCGTGTGGCTCTCTTTATACTGATGGAGAATCTTGCCGGATAAATTGGGATCAACCATTTTGCAATTGACACGTGTCCATGAAAGGAACGGCTGCGATTAGTTCGTGTAGCTGACAAGTCCGACGACGGAAGCGCGTCTCCTTCAGTTGAGTGCGTCGGAGTTTGGGCCTTCTGTCGGTTCTCGCACAACCATACCTTCATTATCATATTTATTAATTATTAATTGGCGCAAACTAACATGTAATATCGTACATACTACGCAGTTCATTGGATAGTCTCTTCCAAGATCTGTACCGTCAATTTCCGATCGGATGGTTCATTCGGCCAACTGTTGTTCTAGACGCCCACAACAATGGGCTCGTGGGCGGAATATGAGGAAAAGCAGGGGGAGGCCCACATGTTTGGCCTTTTAAACAAGGAGTCAACTTTTAGTACGAGTCCATGTGCGGGAAACTCCAATAGCGGTCGGTCCAGCGACAGCCATGTGATCATGTTGGCGTGTCGGCAACGTGTCTCTTGTTTAGCATTTCTCTTCTTAATGGATCAATTGAATTAGGTTTCGAGTTGACACGTGTACAAAACGTAGTCCGATCGCGAAATTAACTCGTGGAAAAATGATGGCCTCATGAGCAAGTGGCCTGGATTTTGGGGTGGTCTTCCGGGTAGACGGGTGGAGTCTTTCCTACGTCGATATTGGGCGGTCTTCAAGGCTCTTTAATCAAAAGCCCTTTTAAAGCAGGGTTTGTCTTTCGAGTCACGATAGCACTACGAACCACGAAGCTCACCGTTATTCTCATTAATCAAACATTCTTCAGTGCCTGGGTCGGGTCCAATTAGTAAAGTCCAATTTGTATGGAGAATTACCCGAGCAAATTTTAAAAAATCCGATTGTAGCTGGTTCTACTGATCAACCACAAAAAAAAAAAATGGAGGTATTTAGTGGAAACCGGGAGCAGCCACTGGATGGGACCTACCATGGAGATTAATGGAGCAGAGAAAGAAAGAAAATGAGACCATTTGGTTGCTTGAATTTTGGGTGGTGAGAGAAAATTTGTATACGGAGGCTTAGAAAGCTTGGGACTTGAGGGAGATGATGCATGAATTAGCTGGCAAAAGTCAGATGTGGGTCCAGAATGAAGGGTTCGGACTTAGAAGGGCCCAGATCAAAGTTGTACATGCTGGACCCTAAACTCAGACATTTTCTAGAAGCAAGGAATATGGCCTACACACAATGAATAGAATCTTTTCATGTAAATAATCAACAGAGCCAAGAAAATATATTGACCAAGGTGCAATTGGATTAGAAAAAAAAATAACTGCAATGGTTCCATCTCTTTCATCCAACTAAATAGGTGGAAAGAAATGTTTGAGTTATATTTTGTTGTTTTCTTTGCCATATGCATCAAAACAAATTAAAAGGATTTAAAAACAAAGTTTTGAATATAAAGGAATAGTCATGATAGAACAATTGAAATATTTTTTGTTAAAAAATTTCTATTTTCATTATAAGGAAGTAAGAATCAAAGTATCAATATCAAATGATATGCAAAAATTGTGTATCGCCCAACTCTTCGAAATTTCTCTTCATTCTCTTTAACGAAACATCAAGCTTTGAGCCAGGGATAAAATAGGGGAGTCATGCCCCCCTATATGCCTTAAAAATCCCCATAATTCCTATTTATATTTCATTTATATTTTGGACCCCATCCACGTTTATTAACTTTTGCCCCCCACCCCACACACCCCCCACCAAATCCATTGTTCATTAATTTTTGGCCCCATATAAATACTTTATCAATATTTATAGTTACCATTAATTTGTATTGTTTATAGTAAATGAATAGTTGCTTTTTTTTTGTTATTATATCAAATAATCAGAATGAAAAATAACAAAAACAATTTGTCAATGGATACTATATGATAAGTGGGGTTTTGAAAAATAATACCAAAGAACAAATAAAACTTTATAAAATAGACTTACCTTGCGAATTAATCAATCAATGCCCATTTTTTCATGGCTAGGATGCATTTGTTTGCATCAAGGAGGGGTTAAGAAGTGGGCCCTAGATAATCCTTTTAAGGCCCTATTCCAACAATAGGAATTCGAAATTAGAATCAAGGACGGCCAAGAGTTTGGTTTCACGTTATTTTGATGTGCAAATTCGGGCACCAAACAATAGTCTTTGTAGACGGTTACCGGAAAAAAACAACCTCAGTAGCCCTCCAAAGAAACCACGGCCTTTAAAACAAGTCCTGGTCAAAGAAGGAAAACCAAGATTTTAGACTTTCAACCTCCATCAAACACTTGCCCAAGTAAACCTCTCTTACCCATAGGGCTTTGTTTGTTTGCATGCAGAATTCGATTCACTCTTGCTTCGGGTATCACTTTAATTTGCACTCCCTTGCTTTTGAATCAGTGCAAATTAAAGTTACAATGCAAATAAACCAGATTTGGTGAAACAGTGATGCAAACAGATTTGCTGCGTCACCAAGATAACTAAGCATTTGATTTGATGCACATGCCATATGTGTTGTTACTGTCGGTTTGGCAAGCAAATCGCTGTCACCAATTTGTGCAGACAAGATATTTTGCGTCTATTTGCTTGAGCTCATCTGGTTCTTCGTGGCAAGAGCATCTCCCTCAGACCCTCACCACAAATGACAAACTCGAATAGGCCCGGGAGTCATGTGGGTACTAAGATTGATTCCATGAAACGACTCCCACAGTGGAACGTCCATCGTTGGCTGTGATTGTCTAATCAGACTGATTGGATAGGCTTGGCCATTTCTCTTTTGTCCCAAATTTGATTGATATATTCCACGTCCTTACTCGTCCGATCGCATCAAGTTTTCCTTGTGGAAGTTGTCCTTGGTGGGACCAGTGCTCCTATTCCAATCCGTACAAGATGACTTTTCATATACAGTGTTATCGGTCTATAAAGGGAGGGTACTTCGCTATTTTGTCCTGGTCCACTAACCTTGCAATGTTCACGAGTCGGGCCGGGTCGGACTTTGCCTCTTTTCAGGTCTGAATCCGATCCTGGCCCTCATGACTCGAACTTGAAGCCTATCCTCTAAATTGGGCAAAAAGATTATCTTTGTTTTTTATTCAACAAAAAAGCTGATTTATTTATACTAAAACATCCTAGAATTAAAAATTTTTTAGAACAAAAAATATATATTATATATTATATATTTTTATTATAAAAATATTATTGGGCATGGGCTCAGCCTAGGGCTTGGGTTCAAACTTTCTTGAGAAATCCTGAGCCCAGTCTAGGCTTGAGCACGATCTTGCAAATCTAAAATAATATCAAAGCCTGACAAAAAATGGGATGGGCCAGACTAACCTGTTGGGCTACCCGGCCCTAGAACACATCTAGGGATCAAATCAAATCTACTTTGTGACTATTAATTGAATGAACGTGTTGTTAGTGGTAGGGGGTAAAAGTTGGACTGGATTCTAACCCAATCCTAATACTTTGTGTTAAGATAAGGTTGAGTTGAAGTTGGGCTTGGATTGGATTTGGGTTGATTTTATTTATCTTTTTTTTTTCTTAAATGTACTTATTTCTTAGATTATAAGGCTTAGTGTGAAAAGAGTAGAAATGTAGAATACAAAATCTTGAATTTTGTATGTATTTATACTTTTTCCAAACTAAGCCTAAAATTCATGTTAATTTAGTTTTGTTATTATTATATATAAAAGGACATAATTATCATGTTTTATGTTATAGTTAAATCAGGCTTGGGTTGGATAATTGGGTTGAATTGGTCAAGACTTCAACCCTAACCGGACTTAAAATTAATTCATATCTTTCAATCACAAGTCATAACCCTAACTAGAAATTCAATCCAACCCTAGTTTTTTAAGTAGGGTCTAGCTAACCCAGCCCAATTTGCAGTCCTGTTCATTATTCATTGAATAACTCCCTCGTATTTATTGTTTATCGGGGCATTCTCGGTGAGATCATATCTAATAGGGCAAGTCTCGATCTGCTCTTCATAGAATACACCTCACATCAACCTCATATCATGTCTTGACCGCACATCAAGAACATTTCCGGTATTTATATTATTTATGAAGAGATATTCTCTATACAGCATGGAATGTGGATGTAAGGCATACTCTATAAGGAGCAAATTCCAATAGACATGTTCATGGGCTAAGCCGGATTGGGCTCGGGCCGGGCTTTTATTCATCACTAAAGGAAATACGTTAGGCCCAAGCCCGAGCCCGGCCCGACCAACGGGCCTATAACTTGGGCTCGAGCTTGGCCCTGATAAAAAGCCCGAAGCCCGACCTAATAAAAAAAATTACAATTTTTCCTATTCAAATTAGAATTAAAAATTCAAATGTTTTTTTTTCCTATTTAAATGAACAATGGGCCTATAAGATGGTTTTTTTCCTTTTCTTTTACATTTTAAAACACAAATTTACATTCTTAAATCAAAAAATTTATTCAAATGAAAATAATCACATAACCCATTTTAACTCTAATTTTAGGTCGAGCCAGACTATTTTAACAAAACCCGAACCCAGTTTGAATATATTGCGGGTCGGACTTTTTGGCCCGAATTTAATCCCACGGGCCTATAAACATGTTCAAACCCGTACGAACGCCGGGCCGATGCATGAACAGGTCTAATTGGAAATATCTACCGCACTTGTCATTGGGATTTGGGAGATGTTCCCATTACTCGGGGTGTCTCATTACTAACACAATTGGAGCGCCCTCGTTGAATCATTACACCAATCTTACATACAAAACCACATATTCTTCTGGTTGGGTCGTCCAGGCGATATGTTCTGCCTGGATCATTCTTGTTTTGCCATGTTTCTCAAAGTTAGTGGGCCAAAAGAGAATCAACAGAGTATCAACAATCATTAAGCACGTGTAAACCATCCCCGCCTAAAATTCCGCAATAGAGATTTGTGGGTAGTAACGAATAACGATAGTTGAAATTCCAACACGGCCCGTCCGTCATACAAGTTCCGAGCGAACTAAGCAAATCCCTATTTTTTTGAACCGTCGTAATAACAAAGAAATATAAAATTATTACGATTCTAAAGTAAAAATAAAAAAAGAAAAATCTTAAAAGAGGTTACATCTCGATGGCCGAAATAAGTCAAAATCTATTTTACCTATTATTAAAATCGACAATTTTAAACTTTAATTTTTTACTAAAAGAAATTAATTTGTGGCGGACAAACCGTCAACCATATCTAAGGCCGCTTAGCGACCTAGAGACAGGGGATTCTGTTGTCATTGGAGAGTTAACAATAATACTTCAAAGGACCAAACTGTCCCTTACTCTGTACCCATAATACAAACTACCCTAGCTAGTAGAATTAGTGTAGTAGCCATTGAAAAGGAATCTTCGCTCCACAATTGTGATCTGATAGTGTTGAAATGGAGATATACAAGGCTAAATGCAGATCAGATTCTGTATTTGGAATTAAGCTAGGGTTTGGCTTTGAAGAAGAAGAAGAAGAAGAAGAAGAAGACTAATCGTGTGGATACATCCTGCTGTTCATTGGCTCATGTGCATGCACACAACAAATAAACAAATTTACTTACCAACATTCATGAATATTGCCCATTCACAGTTTTTTTTGGATATCGTAGGTGTAGATACTTTGAACCATGAGCTAGGGATGCTATGGTCTCTGCCTACATTAATATGATTTTCTTTGATCCTATACATTAATTATGATTTTGACCTCAGATTAGGTATACCATTAATACATTGATATTCGATTTGTGATTTTTAATTATTGTAAATCTAGGGATTAAAGCCCCAATTAATACTCTTAGGATTCATTTGTTTTTACCTATTTGGGTAAAGCATTCATGGCCCCAATAGGTTATGCAAATAAGCAACTTATCCACCCTCCAAGAGGGCATATATCACTTGGATATATTTCATACGAATATTCTTCAAAAATTTCGCTTACAGTAAAATTCGATATAGTAACATATGAATGTAGGGATAATGGTCAATTACCTGATTAATCAACTTACTCTTTATTCCTCTACGATAATCGAATTGTATTGACTAAGCTACTTCTAAGAAATAACCTATGATAGCATCATCTGAAAGTCAATTTTTTGGCTCATGATAATTTCACAACTTTCTAAGTTTCTTGGCTCATACAATGCCAAAAACCATGGACCTAATTATAATAATATCTTATGCTTTTATTGTGCATTATCTACAATCAAGGTCTAGAGATGAGATGTTGCAAATACCAAGCATCCGTTTTGCTTAATTACTTAATTTTCCTTTTGTAGGTAGGTTAGTCAGGATTCATTGAATGAAAGGTGCATGCATTTCAATTGCTTGATTATTTTTAGATGCAATTTTGTGTGCCCAAGATGATGACACGTTCCTTGCAGTTGTGCAATGTATTTGAATGAAGCGCCTTGTGATATGTTGGACCCCTAGGGCACATAGCTTGAGACTTTATGACATTGAGGGTAATAATTTATGGGGCACTTATGTTAATGATATCTTACTTCCTTTCAAAAAGAAACCCTTCCTTAAAATGTTTGTAACTATGACTTATACACTATGCTAGGGTTATGCTTTGGTCTCAAAGTAATACAGTGTTGGAGTAACTTGGCCACTCATTTGATTATGTTTGGTTTGAAGGAAAAGGTAGGGAAAAAAAATAAAAGGTATCAAAACCTATACAAGGTTTGTAAGTATATTTTTTATTTTTTCTTTCTTTTCCCTATTTTTTACTTCAAACCAAACATAGCCTGTAGGAGAGCTGAGGTCATAAATTTGGGATCCGAGGTCATAAAAGTAGCACGCATGCAAATAAATGGGGTTTGTGTGGCCACAACTTTGCACCTTACACACAAGTCCCACAAGTTGTAAAAGTTACTCCGCACTATAGATTTGTCTACTAGCTTCATGGAAAATGTGCATCACCCTATTTGTACATTCATTGGTACAAATAGTCTTTTCTCCTTGGGCTATTTGTGTCATTTTACTTCCTATTTTACTCCAATACAAATAGTTAGGAAGAGTGCAAGTACAATTTTTTTTGTGCAAACACGAATACGTGTGGTTCATAAAAAATGTAATATTGGTTTAGTTTTGCAGGCTGTGTTTGGAATCAATGTAAAACGTCATCAGTGTAAAAGTACACTGATAACGTTTTACACTGAATTGTGAAAGTGGCCTTTGCTTTTTGAAAAATGCGATGGGTGGAAGTGCAAAGTTTTGCATCGATAAAATCAATATAGTTTTTACATTGATTATCGATGTAAAACTTTATACTTGATGAGGTTTTACATCGATTATCGACATAAAACCCCACTCCATTCAAATGCAGGCAAAACTAAACCGAAGTGGAGTTTTATGTCGATCATAATTATATGCTCCTTCCAAACGCCTACAAAATCGAACCGATGTAAATTTCACATCGGTTCTTAATTTACATCGCTTCCAAATGCAACCGCAATTGATAATTTTATATTCTTGCCAAATGATTTTTAGTCTTGATGGGTGTAAATATGAATTCTAAGACTAAAATCCTTTTTTTTTTTTTTTTTTACATTAAACAACTTTGAGAGCAAAAGTTTGGAAGCAAACTCTGCTCTCATTTTAAATGCAAATATGCCTTGGAATTCATGACTATTGTCATTTTATATGAACAACTTTCTTATCAAACACTTGCAAAACTGAACTAGAATGCATAATTGCATCGAATTTGCACGGAGGCTTCGTTTCATTTTCTCTGTTGTATAGTGGGAACCATATCATTTTACTCCAAAATACTATTTACTATTCATATTTTCTTATGTCTGCACTTTTATTTCTTATGTATAATTTTTTAGGGTTGCATGTATATAGAAAATCTACAAATTCACCCTTGGTATATTGAGAATGTGTCAAGTTTGATAATTTTAAAAGCAGCGAAATGGAAGATATGATATCAAGTTTTATAGTTCAAACAAAGATATTTAAGTAAATTTTTATTTAATTATCTTATTGCAAACCCAAAATAAAAGTAATATATCAGCGAAAATTGAAGAAATATATGATATCTCAGTGAACTAGTTATGTAGTCAGATGGAAGACCAGCAAGGGATAGTGCTTTATGGTTAAGGGTGCAACTTGGGCTGACTTGTGGGTTGGAAATAGACCTGGTCATGGGCCGGGTAGTTTGATGGCCCGGCCCGCATTCCTAGTCGGGCTTGGTCATGTAATCAGGCCCACGAGCCTAACCTCGGGCCTAACACAGTAAGCCCAACTGTGTTTCGGGCTGGGCTCGGGATTTGTCAAATAAGCCCGACTCGGTCCGACTCAGCATTATATATTTTATAAAATATATAATATGTATTTTATATATTATATAAAATATATAAATAATATAATATTTATAATTTAATATATACATTTTTTATTATTTTCTTTATAATCTCTCTCTCTCTCTATTCAGCCGCTAACAGTATGGGCTAAATTTTGGACTCGGGCCTAGGCCCGGGCTTCGGGCTTTTTATGAGGACCGAGCTCGGGCCCAAGTTGTAGGCCCGATGGTCGGGCCGGGCTCGGGCTCGGGCTCGGGCCTTAGAAAATTCTGTTAATCCAGAGTGAAAGCCCGGCCCGGCCCATGAACAGGTCTAATTGAAAAGTTTTTAAAGTTTGAATCGACTGGAGCAGTCCAAAAGCCCAAGCTTGAAGAATTGTAAATTCTTCAAATTGGGTATCCGATTTAGGGTTTAATCCTGATCTAAAAATGGTCAAATAACTTTAATGCTCACCAAAATATCTCTTCAAATTGCAAAAAGTTTTTATGCCCGGACCACACCAATAAGCATTTGGGAAATAAGCCCAAATAAGCACTTTTATAAGAAATAAACCCGTATTGAATAAGCTCAATTTTTTTTCAAGAACTTATTGCGTTTCTAATCCATGTTGACCCACCATGTACCCATACTACTCCCATTCGAAAGAAGCACTTTTTCATCAAACACTCATATAAGCGCTTATTAGGATAAACACTTATTATCCAATAAGCACTCCCAAACTGGGCTAAAGACTCCAAATTAAGTCCTAATTCAATTTTAAGGGCACTTATTTAATTAAAGATAACATGGCAATCACATGCAAATTTGAATCTAAGAACACTTTGAACATGTCTCTCCTTTCTTTTTCCCTTTTTCTTTTTCTCTTTTTCAGTCTGTTCTCATTCTTAACATTTATTGATCTCATAATAAAAAAAAAAGAAAAGTATAACCAACTATCTATGTATTTACTCTATCACATGACATTAAAATGTATAGAGAGAGGAGGGGCAAATCACCTTCCTCACTGAGTTGTGCCCAGATCTACAGTATTCAAAAGCTTAAACAAAAAGAAAGTCTGATTAAACACAATTGATGACACCAATTTTGTTCTGAACAAACTGGAATAATGTCTAAAGCAACAAATTAGAGAATTATCATCAAAATTTCAGTTCAACTCGTTTTTCTCCACACATCAGTGCCTGAAATTCCCCTCAGAGCCTCTTGATTGCAACCCAAAACCCTTTGCATCTGACCTCTTCATTATCCTCAGCCTCTTGCATGATTCAGTAAACATCCTGCAAGATAATTAGCAAAATATAAGTAAATGCCCACCGCTTGATGGCATGGGTTGACTCAATCAGATTTCTTCTTTTGGATCTATGAGAGGGGATATCAGGAGATCAAGACCATCTGATGAGATGAAGGGGACGATGGAAGTGGGACCCATGAAAAGCACAGTAAAGACTCGTGGGTGTGAATGGGGCTGAGTACAAGCAGAGTACGTAAAAGCTTTATCCTCTTGGGAAATTGTGGTGGAGACGTCTCTCTAGTCATACTAATATATATGCTTTCTTGAACAGGTCAATTCTTCAAGGACAAATTTGTCATGTACTCGAAAATCTGACATTATAATGGGAAAATTGTTTATAAAGTCGGGTTGGTGAGGCACACAGGGAAGCAGCAGTCTGAAGTGAGAAAAGGATAGAATTACCAAATCAACCCCTCCTTCTACCGAAAACTGCAAGTAATAATTAGATTCATTTTACTTCATTTTCTATCCATGTCTACAAGGTCAACTGTCTTATCAGATCTAAGAGATCAAACGACGGTGATAAAACTATGGTTTAACCCCAATTGATAGATGTAATATTTGTTGCCTAAATCATCAGATCAGAACCATCCAATCAATGGATCTGAGGCGTGGCCCTTGATTTGATGGTCTAGATGGATTCTGCATTGAATAAAACTGTGGCTTGTTTGGTTGAGAGAAGAGACTTACTCCCAGGGTGTGTCTCCCACCATCATCCAGTCTCCGTCCTTATCCTCGTAAATTGGAATATATTCCGAGCTGTCCGAATCCTCCCAAACACCACCTGCCATGAACGGAGGAGTTTGTAAGACCATTTTACACAATTAATCTATATTACCAACTACAACGCAATAAGGATTTGACGCCTGTCTTTACAATGGTGTTTCACCATTAGAAGGACAAGTGTCACGTTATGATTAGCTTATCGGAAGTCAACATGAACTGTGGTGTTATATACAATTATGTTAAACTGTTGCTTAAGTTAGTAATCAGTCTAAAGATATGAGGATTCTACGTGAAAATGACTGAAATTTTGCTTTGCATGGCTGGGTCTCTTCTTCTACGAGTTAGAAGTTAATGAGCAAATGAAGAAGGAAAGAGCAGAGAGAGAGAGAGAGAGATGGGTTACCGATGCCAAAACAACCGAAGAGCTTCTCGAAGGAGACGGCGAGATCCGAGTAGCCTTTGTGGGTGTTGAGGTCGATCTTACGCAGGAATGGAGCACCGTCCATGCTGACTTTCACGTACATTTTGGCGCTTTCTTTCTCATGAACGTTGTTCTTCTTGCGATAGGAACAGACCGGCGGCCACCCAACAACTTGGGCTTTGGTTTTGGATTTCCGGTCTCCGCTGCTCGAGCTGTGCTCGTCGTCGGCAATCTCTGAAAACGCCCTCTTCTTCTCATTTTTCTCCTTTGCCGGATTGCCTCCTGGAAGACCCAACCTCAGCTCTGTAATTTCAAGGCCTAGAGTCGTCATGTCTGAATCTTTTTCTCTGATCTTCTTCTTCTTCTACCTCTACTTCTTCCTTCTTCCTGCTTCCTTCTTTCCTCTTCTTCTTCTTCTTCTTCTTCTTCTTCTTCTTCTTGGATTGTATGAGAGTTTCTGGGTTTGACGAACAAATGGGTAGCTAGGTTATATACAAGGGAAGAGGAGGAGACATGGTGGAAGCAGTGACAGGTCAACTGGGTGAAAGTGGTCGGTCACATGAGTGGCAAAGGTGGGCAATTGTTTGCCTCCTCCAACAGGATTTCTACGGGAGCACCCTAAGTTGGATACGGGACAGATCGTAGGGTTACAGATGCTTGACGCGTTGGTAGGGTTTAATCTGGTCCCTTTGATGAATTGAGTTAGGAACACTCCATGTGGCCTACGGCCTGGCTGGTCCAGTAGTCGTCTTCCCACTAATTATAGAAACAACCAACACCACCATACATTGTTAATGTACGCATGAAAAGCTGTGCATGGCCATTAATGGTTCTTCATTCATGCACCCATCATCTCTGTAATCATCCCGATTCCTATAGTACTATATATATATATATATATATATATATATATATATATTATAACATCAGTCAGAACTCAGAATATTAACGCCAGTTCTAAACATGTAATGCAGGTATGCATCTATGTATGTATCCATGCATGCATGGATATATCCATGCATGGCTTATTAGCTAGGCTTAAAAAAAGAGTTTCTTTAAACCCCTTTCTTCAATTATTACGATATATTTCATTGTTCTCAGAATTAAACTTTACCCACAAAAACAATCATGGGTTTTTGTCATTCAATTGATAACCAAACTACCTATTTGAGAGTCTATATTGATTGATTTTTCACACACAGAGAGAAGAAGGGTGTCTAGATATTGATTAGTACAAAGCTCTTTAATTGAAAAAAAAAAAGAAGATAATATAATTACCCAATTCAAGCCTTGATCAAGGATTGAAATCTGTTAGATAGATGGTGGACTATGGAGTATGGGTTACTTTTGATCTTTATATACCTATCTAAATAGATGACCAACTTATGGTAGAAATCTAGCTAGTTCTATAAGTTATGGTTTATTCATTATTTAATTTTATTATATTATCCAACAATTTGATTATTTACTTGCTTGAGTGTGGCCATAAACAACTATTGTAATGGATAGACTAGATCACTGGTTGAATAATCAGTCAACATGAATGGTGCAATATTTCAGGCACAACTCATCCAACAGACGTGTTGAAAGATTCAAGTTGTTGGACAAATATTCAACTAGGTGTATATACCCACCGAATAATAATTGAACCAAATGTTCATATAAAATCGAATTGGACATATACCAACCAAGGCATTTCCAATTGTTGGAGAGTTGGATTGTTAGTTGTTTTTCTGATAAATTGCAGAGAGAACAATTTTCTAAAGTTGGTATATATCAGTGAGACCATAGTAGAGAATATAGAAAAAGAAAAATTTTTTTATACTGTTTCCTCACGTGAATTAGTGAAGTTCACGGGCAAAGAGGATCCAAAAGTGATTCCATTACATTAGAGAAAAGTAAGTAAACAAACTTTCTGCTGCCCTGCTAGTTAAATATGAAATCTATCTACAAACCCAAACAGGAACCTAACACAATGATCATCAATCATATATATTCCATGAGTCCATTTCCCCACTTTTTGCTTGCTCCCTTAGTTAGGAATCCCTGCCCAAGTGGGTTCTTTCACAAAAATTTCAAACAGAAATGATGAGTACTCAAAATTGAGAGGTTCTAAGTTGTAATAATTTAGGGCCCATTAGGAACGGCCTTAAATAGGGAGATCACATCTCCACCCCACAACGAGCCGCTCCACAGCACATCCCCGCCATATATTGGGAACATCTCCATCATCGGGGCTGGTACTATCATCGGGAGATGTTCACAATACATGACGGGGATGTGCTGTGGGGCGGAGATGTGAACTCTTAAATAGGAGCTTGAGACAGTCTATAGGCAATGTTTGATGAATATCCTTAAAAGCCCAAAATAGCCATGTTACAGCCAAAAAGTTAAAAAAAAAAAAAAGTTATGTCTTTCCACCGAACCTTCTTTTAGTGGCTTCTTCAAAACAGCTCAATCTAAGATTCAGCCCTACCAAATGGCACTTACGAAATGGTTCTCATTGGTCAAACTCTTTCACATAAGTGGGTTTAATCAATTAAAACCAACCTGGTGAATTTTTATAAATTTTAGGTTATCTGGATTGACCAAATGGACCCTAAGTCCATATTTGCTTTTCCGGAAGTTACTTATTCAAGTAAATGTACTTACTTGGGTAATGTTTCCTGGAAAATGCTTAACTGGGTAAGTGCATTTACCATGTTCTTTTATTTCCCAGATAAATAAAAAAAATTGACCATTTTAGGCATAAAAAACCATTATTAAAAGAGACAATTTTGTTCCACCCAAGTATTGACAACTTTCCCCTCAGGTGGAAAAGTTATTTATCCACTTGGGAGATGGAGGGAAAACAAAATTTCCACGAACCACACATAAATCTAAAAAAAAAAAAAGAACATAGATATCCAGGTCAACAGGATTCAAAATCCCATTGGCCAACCTTCTACTATTCTAATACAATATAAGAACAATCACTGTGTTCTAATACAAGGGCTGGGCATATATGCTATTATCTGAGCTAACAATTCATTGATACTTTGCCTCATAACTTTCTCCATAGGTGGAGCTACACTGCTAATTATGTGGGTGAGCAATTGGATCCACTTAGCTTCTAAAATTGTTAAGGGGTTATTTATAATTGGTCTTTGGCTTAAACTCTTTTCTCAAAATTGACTCCACTCAAATAAAAACTATGGGGTCAATTCAAAATATATAAAGATTTAACCCACTAAAAATAAAGCAACCAAACTCCATTAAAAGGATGGGGTACCTCTTGAAATTTTAAAAGGTTAACAGTCATTATAATAAAACAATTAATTTGATTGAAAAGGTTAAAACAAAAGCTGGATTTGGTGTAAAAACAATTCCTAAAGTCTAACGAGTGAAGCAGAGGAGAGAGAAAGAAAGAGAACAAAAGCAAGAGAGGAAAAAACTTAAAGAAAGTGAAAATAGCCAAGGTTTCCATTTAGACATTTGAGTCATTAGTTTGCAAAACCATAGCAATTATTGATCATATTAAACTTCAAGCTTTTCCCACTCTTTTCAGTTTTTACTGCAAGTTATAAATTAAACAGAGAGAATCTAGGAAAAGTTTACAGGTTTCATGGCTGTAATCATCTGGCTCTGTGGTTCGTAAATCTGTTAATCAAGCATTTGATTATGGGACGGTGGGTAGGGATGACTTTCCAACATTCCATTCATTACACCTGTTTTGAGTCAGGATATTGCCTGGAGACAACATGGAAGGGACAGTCATACAGACTCACTCGCCATGGGAATCAAAGTTGCCGTCTACCTCTCTCTCCACTTGATTGAATGTTGAAGCAAACAAACAAAATCCGTGCTACTTCCTGTTTCTTCACAATTATAGACTCTAGAAAAGAAATGGGAAACCTCCAATTTACTTCCTGCCACTTCATTGCACGTGTACCCACACGGTTAGACCTATGATCTGTTCAATTATGCACCACCCATATTGAGATATGGAAAATTAATGCCCTTGTTTTCTGGATCTACATCTACAGTCACGGGTCTTGACCAATGGCAAATGGATTCGGGTGAATTACTTGGAATTTGGGTCTAAACCGACAAACCCCACTTATTTTCGTGCAAAATAATCCAGACCCACAGTTGCAAATGGACCGGATCATGATCTATCCAATTTTATTTAACGTTTTTAATGAATTTAGATTCAAATATTCATTTATGAGATTCAATTAGATCTTCAAATCGATTATCAGATTAGATTCGAATATACCTTTATTCAAATCTAATTCGATATATTTGCATCTCTAGACCCAAGGTTTAAAATATTGATATATATTAGCCGATATGTATTGTTTTAGGACCCCTCCGATATGCCCTTATAGTGGGTGTATCGGGTCTGACCGGTTCAGGGGTGGAGGAGCCCTAACCCCCTGAACCGAATTCAAAAAAAAATAAAAAAACAAAGTAAAAAAAATTAGTATCAATTCACCCAATATACCCCTATCGGTGTATCGATATTTTGAACCTTGCCTAGACCCACTTGCTTGGTCTTTAATTTGAACTATTCCATCAATTGGATGGATGTGTACACATGTTCTGAACCCAGAGAGTCAGAGACTCTCAGCTATTTGACAGTTGAGAGAGGGAGAGGTTGGTGAAGCTCTTAAGACACCAAAAAATGAGGTGTCTAGCTTTTGGGAAACTGGAGAAGCACATGAGCACATGCATCTCTTTCTTGGCATTGTTTCATGGACTTCACCTTCTGCATGAAGGGATAAACAGACGGCCACAGAGGAATTTTGTCTGACAATCTGGCCGGGAAAGAGCCAAGTTCAATAGGGTCCACGTTGTCGATGGCTTGAATCTCTCTGTAACGCGTTGGGTGTTAACCTTTTTCCACAACCTCATGGATCTCTTCATGCGAAGTTGGAATTTTAATTAATCTGCTTTTTTGGTCCCCCAACTCCCATGTTTTGGTTTTAATTTAAAATCACCCACTTCTTTGGAAGCAGTTTTACGTTTGGTTGCACATGAAATTAATGAAGGAAAATAAATGATTTTTCTGAAATTTGCTTTCTTTACAGGCAATATATATGACTGGAAAATCTCTCTCTCTCTCTCTCATATTTTCTACTAAACCAAACCAAGGTTTTTGAACCGCTGTTGACCCGGACAGTCAAACTGTTCGGCCCGGGAATCGTTCAGATAATTGCTTCCATTTTACCCCAAACCTGATTTTTGGTCAAAAACTGTTGAAAAAGTCAACAACATATCGACCCGAGTGGTCAAAGCATCGGTTCATTCAATAGTTTTTACCACTTTTTTATTTTTAATTAATTTTTTGTTTTTTTTAATTTATTTGTCAGGACGAATCATCTGCTCGAACCAGATGATTAGACCATCAACCCAGAAACCTATGGCCAGAGCAGTTCTGTTTCCAGG